GGTTGTGGGTCTTGAACTCTGGGCCTGTGCACTGTCCCTGGCTCTTCAGCTCAAGGCTAGTGCTCTACCACTTGAGGCACAGCACCATTTCCCATTTTCTGAATGGTTTCTTGGAGATACGAGTCTCACGGACTTTTTTCCTGACTGGGCTGGCTTTGAACCCTGATCTTCAGATCTCAGACTCCTGAATAGCTAGGATTATAGGCGTGAGCCACCGGCTTCTGGCAGCACTCCATTTTTGTAGCTCCTTCTCTCCTCTTGGAATGTATGGAAGGGACACACCCAAGTGGGCTCAATACCCCCAGCAGGAAAAGAGGCATCCCAGAACCAAGACTCCATGTGGGATAACAGGGGGTGTGCTGCCTTCTCAGCATGCTACTGGATGGCACCCTTACCCTGCGGATGTGAGGATCTAAAACACAAATCCCAGAGGCCCTACCAAGAAAGTTTTAGCTGTGGGAATCTGAGGGAGGGACTGGGAATCTGATTGTTATATTAGAGACCCATGATTGATCACTAATGCCACTGGGTGCCATTGTTAGTGTAGGGTTAGGATCCACAGTCCACAGGTGGAGAGAACCACTCATGGTGGCCTTCCAGTTCACACCTCAGTCTGACAGATGTGCAAGAGTCCTGAGGTTGCACCTGGAGCTACAACCACTTTGACCTGATCTAGTGAGGTTGATGTTAGCCTTTGTCAGTATATTATTCTCCCAGGCACCAATTATAGACATGGCCCCTTAACCTCATATTAGATGGAGGAGGCCTCACTTCCTATTAGCAGGGTGTCCTTACCTTAGTCTAGAGCTGAGGGTGTGGCATATGCTTGATAAATTCATGAGGGAACAAAATCTCTCTTCAGTTTCCTGGGCCCATGCTATTAGCTAGTTTACTAGGGCTTGGCACTGACAGTCCATTAACTGGGACTTTTTCTTGCGTCCATAGGTTTTTTTCATGACAAACCAAGATCCGAGACAATGGGCTAATACTCCATGCACGGGCCTCCTGCTGCAGACCTGGCTTAAGTAAAGTTGGTTTTGCTAAAATGTCGCAGAGTCTCTACTCATCTTCCCCCTCATTGACCTTGGCCTGTTCATAGGTGCTTTCTAACTATTTTCCACCATACCCATCTGGGACCTTCTGGATCCTTCAGGTTTGAGCTCTCTATAAAACCCTCAAAGTCCACATCCAGATTCCTGACTGTTGATCCCTGCCTGCAATGGCTCAACCCTTGGTCTCACACCTCAGCTACAATGGATACTTGTGCGTGTGCACACACGCACACGTACACACACACTCACACAGGTACCCCACTTCTGCTACTCTTTGATGATATTTGTTCCTTCTCAGTATCATGTCAATTTCTGAAATGCTAGAGTGTTGTAGCCTCTCCTGGGGCTTCCCCCGTAATTCAGAATAATTTGGGAAATGATTTAAAAGTATAAGCTCCCAAGCTTGATACTAGTGGCTCATGTCTGTAACCCCAGCTGCTCAGAAGGTTGAGATCTAAGGATGGTGATTCAAACCCAGCTCCAGCAGGAAACTCCATGAGACTCTCATCCCAATTTAACTAACAAAAGCCAGTCAGTGCTCAAGTAGTAGAAACCCAGCCTTGAGAAAAAAGCTAAGCCACAGAGCCAGCACATGAAGCGGTAGCATCCCAGCCTGTGCATACCATGATTGAGAATGTCTGTGAGGCTTAAAGGGTGCTCAGATGCCTCTCATTTTCAGCCCTGGCTGAAGGCCCTGTGCCAGGAGTAGGCCTTTCTTGCCTATTCTGTCCCACCCCATGTTAAGACTCCCATCTGCTCACAGGTCCAGAACTGCCCCACCCACCACAGAACTTTACTTACCCCTTTCTGAGCATGCTTTCCATGGGAGGTCCTTTTCTAAGAACTTTTCTGAATTGATTATCAATCCTAAGAAGGAGCCCTTGTGTTTTCTTCATTTTACAGGTAAGAAAGATGAGACACAGGTGGTTATATAATTTGCTGAAGGTGACAAGTTGGTGATGAAGACAAACTCTGAATCCAGGAATATGACTATAAAGCCTGTCTTCGCCTCCAACTGTACTACTTTCCCTGAACTCACCTTTCCACCCCTAACCTAACTGTAAAAGAAAAAATTTAAAAAAATACTACATCTCTAGGTTTCCTGTGTGAGATAACACTGTCTTAGCCATTTTCCTAGTAAAGAATTTTAACTATTTCCCTCATCCATTTTATTTAATCAGTATAGATGATTTTTCCTTCCGAATCCTCTTCAGAAATTGAAATAAGGATACTAGGTCTAACCAGCACCATTTGGTGGATGATAGGGAATTGGGTTTAACTGGTGCCATCTTGTCTTCTTGATGGAGGAAGGTGAAGTCCCACCTTCCAGGTAATGGGAGTGCCTGAATTCCTAGAGGCAAGGGCTGGGATGTGGACAATAGGTTACTAGACCTGTTAGTCCTGTGCCTTGAACTCACTAGACTCTCAAGCTTCCTGTGACCCTGCCCCCTGCCCCTGCCCCTATGTAGGCTCAGACCACCTCAGGAGTCATGACAGCATGCCTCATGTCTCCTGGCTCTCCTTCAGTCACCATGGAATCCCACTTCAGCTCTCTCTATTGGAGTCAATCTGGTTTGTTAGTATTGTTTTTCTGCTCTTTCTTTCCTCTTCTGCTTTCCTGGCTCAGTTTTCTAACAGTGTTGAGTGTATTCGAGGGGCTGCAGGTCTTTATGACAATAGTCCACTTGTAGATGCCAACTTTCTAATAAAGACTCCCAATTTTTCCTCTTAAATATGGCTTCTCTCTTTTCTCATGACTGAATTCCCATACAACAAAACTATGTCAGAGCTGAGGGTGTAGCTCAATGGTAGAGAACTTATTTGGTATTCAGAAGCCCTGAGTTCAGTTCCTCGAACCACAAAAATCGTAAGTACCAGACACATGGGAGATATAGAAAGTCACAAAACAAATGGTAACAGATTCAATCACAGATTAAAAAGAAAGCTTGGCAGGATTTATCTAGCATCTAGAATACAACCTTTCCTAAGCAGATTGGAGAGAAAAAGAAGTCCTTCTAGGTGGGGTTAAAGAAGCCAATGGACAGTTTTCCTTAGGTAATTATCTAAAAGACACTCATTAGAAAAGCAGAAATGCTGAATCTAACCGATGTCATCTTGGCCATGTGGTGGATGATAGGGTATTGGGTTTAACTGGCACCATCTTGTCTTCCTGGTGGAGGCAGAGAAGTCCCACCTCTGAGGTGATGG